ACCACAATTCGGGGGTGACACTGCCACAATTTGGGTGTCCCCAAATGTCACTGTCACAACCTGAGAGTGACACTGCCACAATTTGGGGTGACACTGCCACAACTCGGAGTGACACTGCCACAATTTGAGAGTGACACCACCACGATTTTGGTGTCCCCAAATGTCACTGTCACAATTTTGGTGTCCACGAATATCACTATCACAATTTGGGGGTGACGCTGACACAACCTGGGGGTGACACTGCCACAATTTGGGTGTCTCCACAGTCATATCACCACAATTTTGATGTCCTCAAATGTCACTGCCACAATTTGAGAGTCCCCAAATGTCACTGTCACAACCTGGGGGAGACACAGTGACAGTGTCACAATTTTGGGGTCCCCAAACATCACAACCTGGGGGTGACACTGCCATGATTTTGGTATTCCCAAATCTCACTGCCACAACCTGGAGGTGACACCACCACAATTCGGGTGTCCCCAAATGTCACTACCACAATTTGTGTGTGACACTGCCACACAGTCACACTGCCACAACTCGGGTGTCCCCAAATGTCACTGCCACAGCCTGGGGGTGACAGTGCCATAATTTTGGGGTTACCAAATGTCACTGTCATAACCTGGGGGTGACACTGTCACAACCTGAGAGTGACACTGCCACAATTTTGATGTCCCCACAGCAATACCACCACAATTTTCATGTCCCCAAATGTCACTGTCACAACCTGGGGGTGACACCACCACTATTTGAGAGTCCCCAAATGTCACTGCCACAATCGGAGAGCGACACTGCCACAATTTGGTGTCCCCAAATGTCACTGTCACAATCTGGGGGTGACACTGCCACAACCTGAGAATGACAATGTCACAACCTGGGGGTGACACTCTCACAATCTGGATGTCCCCAAATGTCATTATTACAGCCTGGGGGTGACAATGCCACAATTTTGGGTGTCCCCAGATGTCACTGCCACAACCTGGCAGTGACAAGGCCACAATTTTCATGTCCCCACAGCAATACCACCACAATTTTCATGTCCCCAAATATCACTGTCACAATTTGGGGGTGACACTGCCACAATTTGGGGTTAACACTGTCACAATCTGAGATTCCCCAAATGTCACTATCACAACCTGGGGGTGACACCGCCACAATTTTGGGGTGACACTGCCACAATTTTGATGTCCCCACAGCAATACCACCACAATTTTCATGTCCCCAAATATCACTGTCACCATTTGCGAATGACACCGCCACAATTTTGAGTGTGACAATCCCACAATTTTGGTGTCCCCAAATGTCACTGCCACAACCTGGGGGTGACACTGCCACAATTCGGGGGTGACACCCCCAAAATTTTGGTGTCCCCAGATTTCACTGCCACAATCTGAGAGTGACACTTCCACAATTTTTATGTCCCCAAATGTCACTGTCACAACCTGAGAGTCCCCAATTGTCACTGTCACAGCCTGGGGGTGACACTGGCACAATCTTGGGGTGACAATGTCACAATTTGAGGTGACACTGCCACAATTTCTGAGTCCCCAAATGTCACTGTCACAATTTGGGGGTGACACCACCACTATTTGAGAGTCCTCAAATGTCACTGTCACAGCCTGAGAGTGACACCACCACAATTTGACGGTGACACGGTGACAATATCACAATTTTGGGGTTCCCAAATATCACAACCTGAGGGTGACAACGCCACAATTTTGGTGTCCCCACAGTAATACCACCACAATTCTGATGTCCCCAAATGTCACTACCACAACCTGGGGGTGACACTGCCACAATTTTGATGTCCCTAAAATGCCACTGCCACAATTTGGTGTCCCCAAATGTCACTGCCACAATTTGGGGATGACACTGTCACAATTTGAGAGTCCTCAAATCTCACTCCCACAATTTTGATGTCCCCAAAATGTCACAATCTGGGGATGACACTGCCACAATTTGGGGCTGAAAACCCCACAATTCGACAATCCCCCCCTAAACACCCCCTTTTTTTTAAAAAAAAACCCCAAAAAATACAAAAAACAACCCCTCCAAGCACTCACTTGCTCTGAGGATTCACATTCTGCAACATCCCGGCGGTTCCTCCGTGCGGGATTCGTTCACCTCCTCCTCCTCCTCCTCCTCCTCCTCCTCCTCCCGCCGTCTCCTCCGAGGATCCCCCCACTTTGCCCGCTCAAAACTTGTCCCCTCCACCTTCAGCGCATTCCGTGGAGCTCCGGGGAGGGGGATCTTTTAACCGGGAGCCCCCTCCCCTTTTTCGGCTTCTTCCAGCGGCGGCACCGGCGCGGTTTCTTCACATCCACCA